ACATATATACAACACATGTATATATATGTTTTTTTTCAGTAACTACTCATTAATAAGTATTCACAGAAATATATATTTTAATGGTTCACTGCTGGTACAAGCAGATTTTGACGGTGTAACGTCTATGAAAACAACGTTATTTCGAAGCATTTTGACGGCCGTTAGTTAGTGTGAACGTAATAGGAAATGAAATAACGGTAAGCACCTCGAATTTCCATAGGATCTTCAAATTTCAACACCCATACTTTTATCCGAAGTTTCGCAGTTTTTCCGCAGTAGTTTCGACGCTTTTTAAATTCACTGAGTTAAAAAAAAAAAAAAAAAAAAAAAAAAAAAAAAAAAAAAAAAAAANAAAAAAAAAAAAAAAAAAAAAAAAAAAAAAAAAAAAAAAACAGTTTTGTTTTGCTCAAAGAATATTTGCTGAAAATGTCAAGAAAATCAAAATTGCCTAGTATCCAAACTTGCCCGATTTAAAAAAAGAAAAAAAAAACTGGCTCTTAAATACTTACTTAAAAAATTAAAGATCAGGAGTATATAAAAAACATCTATGAAAAGTAATTAAACTCCACAAAGAAATTAATAGCGAATTAATTAATTAAAGTACTGGCCTGTTTTGTCCGATTTAAATAAATTGAATAACTCAAAATGAATGTTTAAGACACACCCCCCTCACATATATATACATGTATATTAATAAGTTTTATTAACCGCTAATCAAGTACATAGAACTCATAAAATAAGTTAACAAATTGTGAAAACATGGAAAATAATAAAAAATAATGACAAGAGAAGACAAATTATTAAAATGATTTTTTAAAAGTAATTAAAAAAAATATTTTTATTTAATATTAAAAGTCCGGAAAACAAAATAAAGAAAGTGATATAATCTCATGAGCTCACACGATTATAACCGCAAGAAAGAATGCTTAGATTATATTTTTTTTAGAATAATAAAAAATAATTTTTTAAGGTATCCGAACACGTTCGGAGGATTTTTTTAGAAATATTTAGTTTCAGAACACTTTAATTATGTTTTTATACTTATTATATGTAAAAACTAATATTAAATAAGAGAAATTAGACATTTATATTATATTTTGTTTTTGAAAGCTAAATAACAAGAAAAAAATGATGTTTTTTTCATAAAACTTGTGAAAGGATATACTTCACCAAAATTATTGTATCAAAAAAGTGTTATTATCAAAATAAAGGGCTGAATTTTGTCTAGTGATTTGACTACAATCATAATAATATTTGGAAAATAAAATTTTTTATAGAGAATTGAAAACTTTTTATGAGATTTTTGTCAAATTTTTTACGTCGTATGTCACATTTTAGACCAATAATAAAAAACTATTAAGTATTTTTAATCAATTGTAGCACAAGCACTAGAAAACATTATACATAATACACATACAAATTTTTATTGAAATATATCAACAACTTTTTTAATAATGAATTTTGAAAGTTACTATTTTTGCGTGAAATGACATTCTGAGAAAAAGGCATTTAAAGTATAAATTATATCATTTCTATTTTAAAAATGCTTCAATACTTCTAAAATTCTCCCGATTTGTGTGTGATACCTTCCTTTTTCTCAATTTTACAAATTTTTTGTTTTTTTGCAACCCTATTTTTTTTCTGACAATTTTTACATTAGTTAATGAATGGCGTTGAGACTCATACACACGCTCAAAATCAAGTTCTGTAAAACCTTTTAAAGTTTTATTTCCACGGCTGACTCCAACTATGTCGAGTATGCTTTTCAGTCCCAGAAAACCTTTATTAAACTGAATAACAGCCAAATACACACCAAATTGTAATGTTTGCAATTCAACGAACACCTCCTTAGGGACAAATTTCCAAATAATGCCATTAAAGCTACTAATATAAATGATAAATTGAGAGGTTCATTTCTAGCAACATTAAAATAATAATTATTTAAGTCAAAGAAAGATAATTATCCCAAAATAAAGATAAATATAACTGTTTTTGTCCCACTTCCGGTTTCGGAATGCTATTTCCGGTTTCATTTTTTAGTCATCGACTAATATTCTTTTAATCATAACTTTTGTTCTAATTGACGCACAGTTAAAATTTAAACTGTTTTGAAAACTAGAATAAACGGAGATTCGTAATATAAAAATAAAAAAATTTGTCATTTTAGGCTAAAATTCACTTTTTCAACGTGTACGGATACCTTAAATACTTTTAAAAAATAATTTTAATAATTTTGTCATTATTTTTGTCATTATCATTATTTGATCGTTTGGTCACCGCAGGTCGGACGCGGAAAGCACACAGCCGTCACCCAGAAGACGCGTGTGCAGTCCTGCGCACCTACAAATCTGTCTGTCCTACGTCTGTCGAGGCTTCTAAAGGAATACAAATAATTCGGGTTATCTGTGAAATATATATATATTTCACAGATAACCCGAATACGAATTATTTGTACGATGATGAACATTGAACAATGTCCCAACATTATTATAAATAAATGTTTAATCCTGTAAGAAGGTATTGGAAAATCGCTCGCATCATTTTTACTAAATGTCCTTTTGTACTTACACCAGTTTACAAAACATTGTTTTTGATTAGTTTCATTCAAAATAAAAACGTATATATCTTTTTCATAAAAAGTAAATGACTCGAAAATTGTTCGGCGACGTGTTTGGTGATGACTCTTTCTGCCAACATATTAAATATTTATAAATTAAATTATATTTTTGTTTTATCTGTGAAATTGATTCTATTTCATTAAATGTTTGGTACCTTTCATACAGGTATTTGTTTACAAAAGAAACGTTGTTAGAAAATTAATTCTGAAGAACATCTTTCTTAAGGGGTGAAATAAAAAGTTCACATTTAGTAGAGAGTAAAATTGAGATTTCAAAATAAATGAATAATAAGTTCTGAACTATAAAATATTCTGAACACAGGTATGTTCAACGAGGAATGAAGGAAAAGGTTATTTTACAAAATATAACTCTTCTTATTTTACTTTATTTAATGTTGCTTTTTATTTTATTTTACAGCCGACCCAATTTTGTTGGTTTACAACTACTGATGTTCAACTCCGTATCCTTCTAACTATGAACCCAATCCAGAAGACAAGGGAACTCCTGGATCAAATAATTCGCTTTCGTGGAGGATTCTTTGATGGAATTAACCCACATTTCCGTTAGAGGGAGAGGAAAACTACGAAATCCTCCCACGATTAGCCTGACGGCAAGGGGACTCTCGCCCAGGATTCGTCTACCACTGAGGATATTTTACGTCAGCACTGTGGTCGGTGCAAGCCGGATGCGGAATTCGTTTCGAACGGTCATTCGAACACGGTCCTCCTTAGTGGATGGCGAACGCTCTATCCCCTGAGTCACCACCACTCATAAAATTTATATGATAATTTTTTGGAAGGACCGGAATAGCCTGGTTGGTAGAGCACTGGACCCATGTCCAGAGTTCGTGGGTTCGATCGCTGAACGGCCAAAGACTATGGTAAATGGTGACTGAGGCAAGTTAAATCTGTCGAGTTGCAAAGTTAATAACAAATCAATACCTCTGGGGGTACAGGTCAAGGAGTTTTCTTGTCTTCTGGATTGGGTTCAATATTACAAGGCTACGGAGTTGAACATTAAAAGTCGTAAGTCTAAAATTGGGTCAGCTGTTCAACGACGGATACAAAATAAAATAAGAAAATCTTTGGGGAAAAAAAATTAATTTAAAAACATCACATTACAAACTTTCCATTTATCAAATACCAAGAGCAAGAGTAACTCGGGGTTTTAAATTTTTTTTCCTTCCATTTTTACAAAATGCTACTTTATGAATGGATATTTTTTTTAAAATTGGCAATTACGACATATTTTTTAATTAGATCATCTGTAATTCGGTTCGTTTGAATCTGGACTCGCACTCTGACAATGAAGAAAAAGTAATTTTCATCTGATAAAGAGATTTATTTATTTTTTTTTACCACGAACTCAATTTTTCACTGAAGAAAAGTTTTTCAAAGCATTAATTCTCATCAAAAAAAGTGTTTTCCTCTTTGAAGATTATTTCTTCTCTTTCACGCCCCACAGGAATATGTCAGATTTCGAAGTATTAACTTATCTTCAAGGATTTCTCCCTTCTTGACAATTTACAATACTTTGTGGGTGATTGTACTCACAAAGTCATCCATCACATTTGGGAAAATACCCGTATATGATTAGTTGAACAAAAAAATATATTTTTCATGCCGCACTATTTTTCACCATGATTAATTTTTTTCAAGTAATCGAATTTTTAAGGAAAATCATGTTTTGACCGCTGCATCTCTCAGAATTTGAAGGTGAAAAATTTGTGTTGAGGAACACTTTATTAGCAACAAAATTAAACGCTATAATATATATATATATATATATATAGGGGAGAGTTGGATAAAACGGGATAGTCGGACAAAATGGATATGTCGTCTAAGGACCAGACTATTGCAGCTATCTAGCGGACGGCGACAGAAGCTTGTTATTTGGCTGTGATTATATCATTTTCAGTGCGTCCCGTCTTGAAATCACTAGTTAATAGAAAGTTGTAGGTCTCAGAACTTTTTTACTC